AATATAGTAATGTTAGTGATTCACAATATATATATATATATATAATATATATATATATATTATATATATATATATAATTAGAATTTTAGTACTCTTATGATCGAAATTTTTTATTTAAAGAATAAAATGTTGCAATTTAATGTAATTTTTAAAGTAAAAAAAAATGATCATATTCAAAGCAATGTACGTAAACAATTTATGAATGGATGATTGTACATTGATATGCATGTGAAATATAGCACAATTTTAATTTCTAAAAGAAATTACTTTAATTTATGTAAATAATTTACACAAATAAAATATCATATTATAGTTATTCTCAAATATAAAATATTAAGATTTATTGTAATTAATATTCGTACTTCAAATTAAATTTCTTGACAAAAGGCATAAAATTGGATTTTTATGCAATTGTCATGAATGCAGCTCAACAACATTTATCAATTTACAGCCTTTTTGCATTATATTCGAAAAATTGCTGCCATTGTGCTTTAATCATTAAATAGGTATTAGACGTTCATCGTCATATATATCGTAATTGGTCAAAGATGCATTTATATTTCTATTTGAGCGTTAAAGTACCTCAGGTACTAAATTAAAAGAAAATGAAAAATTAAAGTTAAGAAACAAGTTGCAGAAAACAAAATCAAATACCCCTGAGTGGAATTAAATTTGTACGAAGACATGTTGGCTGAGAAAAGAAAAAATGAAATTTTATATAGATATATATATATTATATATTTTTTATAAAAAAATCAGTCGCGGACATGCTTTATGGTATCAGACAACATGATCATATATTGGGGGAAAAATGAAAGAAAATTAGGAGTTGGGCTCCATAAATCTTTGTACATATTTTACATGGTGTGTGTTAAAGACACTAATAAGTCAGGTTTTAGTAGTTTATCGCACAGGTATAGCTACGTATATTATTGTATAATGGTTTCAGAAATCTTGCAGTAGCACATGCTAAATATTTGTTTTAAGAAGTCAAGATGATGTGTATCGACACTCAATTAAATAATAAACAGAATGTATTTTAACTTCGCGTTAAAAAGAATAAAAACAGAGAATATCTTATTTATATTTCATTGTTTATTATTAGATGATCTCATCAGAAATATATAAAAAATTTTATTTTCAAGTTTTCATTATTCAAAATAACAATAAAAGATTTAAATATAAAAGTATTTTAATATATTGTATAACTCAATTTAATAAACTATAAAATAATTAACAGCAAGATTGCAAACAATAATATTCAAACATTATTATTAATGATATTTTTTCTTTTTGATTATTGTTATAAATAAATTTGTTATATAAGATATTACTTAAATATTATATATATTTTAACATTAATTAAATTTCATAATTTAAACTAGATATATGAAGTATACATTTTTGTCAAAATAATACTATTTTTAGATATAATATTTGAAATATAATATTATTTAAATGGATCTCTATTTATTAATTTAAAAAAATAACAAATGAATACATTATCCTATATAAATCGTGAATACATGTATCTAATATTTCATTATGATCCATCATTATCTTTATTATTTGTACTTTACATATTTAGGCAATAATTTTTGTAAAAAAAATATTATATAGATATTGGATATTGATTTCAGGATATTGATTAAATATATAAATAAACTATTATGTACATATATTGATCACAGATACATAGCTTTATATTGTCTTTTCTTATGTAATAGTGATAACATATTGAGTAAAACAAATAATATTAAAATATTTAAGAACATATAACAAATGACGAATTATTTGAGTGACGAACGCATCCTTATCTTCTAAAAACAAATTTTCTCTTTGTAAATCATGAATTACATGTGAAATAATACATATAGTAAGCACAATGTGGATTGTGTCGCCAACCAATAATATTGTTCTACGTAACATTTAATTGTGTTAGCGAATATTGTTAAGAAATAAATCCTATCTTAACAAATTATAGTAATATCATTTATCCTTGTATTATTCTTAAAATGATTTTTGGTTTTTTAAAATATAAAATACTGTAATTAATTAAAATTTTTATTTTGAAAGTTATTTTGAAAATTATTATAAATTATTCATTATATTGCAACTTAGAAATAAACATTCAAATTTTGTTAAACTCTGCATAATAATATATATTAATATAATGTAATTATGCAAATATTCTTATTATTATAGTTTTATATATAATTTTATATATAAAACTATTAATATTTAATAACAAATGAAACATGATTACTTTATGTATAATATTGACAATTTTGTGTATCTAATATATAATGCTAGTAAATATCTGTCAATAAAATGATTTCTTATTTTTTAATTAATTTTTAATTATATATAATGTGACATTATTTAATATTTTAATAAATTTGACAT